CCATGTGACTTTCATGGGGGATCAAGCAAGTATATGCAAGTATATTATATATATATATACATCCTGAGTAAGAAGTTGAGCGAAGGCCCCAGCGATCTTAAGATCCAAAGGGGTGAACGATTGCAGGCCGGCCTTATTCTTCCTTTCCTGCTTATCGGCTGTGGGCAAAGCCTGGAACACCACGGCACCCAACAGTTGCCCATTTGATGCACAAGCTCGCAACCAGACTACCACGCTGCCACAACTGGTTTCAGCACACGTTCTTTCAAGGTGGTGCGCCCCTCTAGAAGCACTCGAAAAAAATGAACGAAGTGACCAAGAAAATGCCCACAAAGGCCAGACTCCGGCATTATGCGAGGCCAGAGCCTTCTCACGATTCTTGACAGATTGCTGCAGATGTCATCGCCCCCTCTCTACTTTCCCGGCGATGCCTATGGAGAACGGATTCTTTCTTCACTCGGGAAGCAGGCATGCCAGCACGATGCAGAGTCAGCTTTTGGCCGGCCTGTCATGCAGAGTCATGCATGAGCCTGGGGTCTTCGGCTGTGAAATCTGAGAATCTGGGAAAACGTAACGAAGGTGTTCCCGTTTTTTGATCCTTCTTGATTTCAGGTCTATGAGATCTATATGGCCATCAGGAAGACTGATCACAACAAAATGTTTTCATAGGTTATGGAGCTCAACAGTGCAGATAGCTGGTCCCGACACTGGAAACTGTATGAGAAAGTATATTATGACACCATTATACCTTCTTTTCACAGGTCGTCTACCGTCTACCAGGCCGTCTACCAGGCCGTTTGCCTTGTTTGCCTCATCACTATCACAGTGGGCAGCTGAGGGGAACACTTGCGGGGAGCTGGCATCAAAGCGAGAAACTTCCTCCATGGCCCGGAGTCCAAGGTGCCAACGGCCCAACGCCGATTTGTGTCAGGGAGAAAACGTTGAAATGGTAAGATTGCTGAGATTACCCTGCGTGAGACTCGTGAGACGACTCATAATGGCTTTTGCGCGGATTGGGTTCCTTGTGTCTTAGGTGGCGCCACACCAAATCTCACATGTTTGCTTGCGGAATTTTAGGATTGGGCGTATACATATTCTATTCTTTCCAACTAGCGCCCAGCTTCTAGTGACTTGTTAACAAGCAGTGATATCTTAAGCTTTTGCTTGGGTTGTGCATTTGCTTTGGCAGAGTGGCTGAAGATTTGGATCATCAATTTCCAGTATGCTGGGTCAAGGGGGCCCTTTGCACTATATTGAATATATTACTGAGGAGTGGGCGCTTTGGTTCAGCAGCTGTGCGGCTTTCCAGCGAGCAGCAAGAGCAGGCCCTGGGGTCATTGCAGATCATTGCAGGGTGGAATGGCACAGAATGCAGCTTCAAATCGAACTCAAGTGATGCCGGGATTGGTAGGGCCGTGGGCACTCCTACTCAGCCGGTCACCAGGTGGTCTTGATGGGCGGAAACGACAATCAGAACCGAGGCGTTGAACTCAGAGCTTGAAATGCCTATGTTACCTTAATTGGGGGCATCAAGTGTGCAAATAGGCCACAATGAGATGTTCTTGCTTGACACATTTTGAAACGTTTGAGACCAGCATGAATTGGGCATCCTGGCACCAAGTCTTTGCATGCATATGCTGCATATAGCTAATTCATGCTAATTCATTCAAACATGCGCGCTAGATGATGTTTGGCGCTGGCTACGGCACCCTGAGCCGATTGAGCTGTTCGGATCTCACATGCGCAGTCATGACGAGTGGATGATCCGTGTTGCTTAGTGCATCAATGATTCAAGTATTCACATTCAATGATTATAAAACCATACACATTATAACACACACACATTTAGCAGGCCTTCTGACAGCATAGCAAAGACAATACTTATATTGTATGTATGCCTATAAAAAATGTTATATATATATATAGTCTATACAGAGAAAGAGGGTCAGAAAGAGGGATTACTCTTTGGATTGATTGGTGAGTTGCTGTCAGACATATACATACGGCATTCTAGTACATTCTCCTCGAGTCAAAGCACTTCCCTGGCCGAGGAGCCTTGGCGACAGCCAGGCCACGGGAACCCAAGCGCAAGACTGTGACCGGAACTAAGCAGATTTTGACAGGGTGTTTTTCATCGAGTATTGTCATGTCATCATCGGCATTTGATGTTCCAGATGCATGGCTGTTTGCCGTTGCACATGTCAGCACTGTCAGCACCATTGTTGTGTCCTTTCTGTTCTCCAGAGCGGTAGATCAGACACAGAAAACCCCTCAGTCATCCTTAATCCACTCAGGTCTTGGAGACGAGCCAACTTCTGTAGCTACCTCAGTTCAATAGCCAATAGGTTTGGATGAGATAGGTGAACTCAAAGCTTGCTGAAAGAGCTGAAAGTGGAGTACACTGCACAAGTGATTTTTTAAGTTATCTAACAAAGCTGTTTGGTCTAGCAAGTGGGAGGGAATCTTAGGAGGTAGTGACGTCCATCCGAGGGGAGCGTAGTATGAATTAGATTTTAATCAGTTTGTGTTGAGGTTTAGATTGGCAAGCTCTCTGTAAATGTGAAATTGAATGTTCAGAATGGGAACAGACGCACCACTGTTCCCTCAACAAGAGTCAACATCACCGGCAACCCAACCTCCGTTGTTGTCTCCACTCAGGCTGTGCCATGCAAAGCAGGGAGTGTCAGGACGCAAGTGGGACATCTCACACTATTTGGAGGTGGGATGTATTTTGTTAGTCGCAGAGCAGGGCCTTCGGCCAGTCTTGAGCTTGTTGACTGGTTAGTTGTTCAGGGCATGTTTGTTTTGGCCAATTAACCTGTGTTGGGCCTTTAGGTAGTTATATATGTATATATAGGTTACGTCGTACACGCACCGGACCGCCTCCTGACCTGGATCAGGATGAAATGCGTTCTGGACAGACATTCTTAACAGTACTCAGTAGACTTATGGGTCTCTCGGAGCAGCTTCTGCAAGTAGATCGAGTCACCTTCAACTCAACGGCTTGTATAATCTCATGCAACCGTTTGCGTACGTCAATGGAGCCCACACAAGTGTTGTACATTTGTTTACTCAACCTTGACAGCAACTGTGATTGCTGTCATCTCACTTGTATATATTTGATGATATTTGAGGAATTGAAGGTTGAATGATGAACAGAGGATCCCATAACCACTAGTGTGTCGGATCTGATTGATTTGAACTTGCTTGTCACCTCAAGGGTAACCACCCATTTCTGTCACTGCACAAAGATGACCATCGTTTGCTTGCAGATGTCAACTGAAATCCATATCGATTTGCTTCATGGTGGAGGCACAGGGTTGGGGAGGCCACTTCTTCAAGTCAAGCTGAGACATTAAGACCTTCATGTGATGAGACGTGCTGAGCCTGACCGATACGATCATATGATGCACACCGCACATCATGCATGTACAGAATAATGCAGCCACAGAATAGATAGCTGATAGCTGATGGCTGCTATGACCAGGTTGTGGGAAACATTCTGAGTGCTCAGCTGTGTGTGGCTCTAGCAGTAGAATGCGCTGAGGCACAGACGATTTGCCCACCGGAGCCGCTGGAGTGGGTGCTGCAGTCATTGCCCGGACCCCCAAAATGATGAGAAAGACTGCAGGGTCCAAATCTTATATTCCAAATATTCCAAGTCAGAGCTCAAAGCATCCTGACTTTCCAAGAGTAAAACAGTAAACGGAATGATGCAGCAAGTCTGAAGTGGATCATGTTGAGGCAATTGAACTAGACAATTGCCGTCAGCTATTTCGGGCCGGGCCCTTAGGCCTTAGGTAACAGAGATTCTGAACTTGCAAAACACAGCTATGAAGTCTCTTGCGCGTACGTTTGATCTGGCTCAACAAAGTCGGGGGCACATTTGCCCGCAATCTCAATTATTGGGAAGATTGCAGCAGGGTTGCTGTCGCAAGGAACTATTGCATACACCATGAAGAAGCTCCTTCATTTTCAACGGTCTTGACCAACACTCTTGGAAGATGAGGGCTAAAGGCACAAGGTCCGTTTATCACGGATCATCGCTAAGGCTGAAGGTGGGCGGTGGAGTCTGGTTCCCGGGATACCCAGCCTGGAGCATTGGTGGGAAGAAGCTCTTTTGTATTTGTGTTGATTTTCCGTTTTTTTTGTAAGACTCTTTGTGTTTCTCCCGGATTAGGATCCATTATATAAATCTTGCAATCTTGAGGCACGACAGGGTGCACTGGCGATCAGCCGTGGAGACCTCAGGGAGCACTTGTTCGGGTCAAGGAGGCAAATCATCTTTGATGCAAGTAGGTTAGAGGCCATCGCAAGTAGGTTGGAGGCCACTGCTATTAGAAACAAAGGAAAAAGAAAAGGAGCCTAGGTCCTCAAGCTTTCAAGGCGGGAAGGCCCGATGATTCCCCGTTTTCCCCACAAGACATATTCGGGCAGAAGAATGTCCCCCATAACTTGCTCGACAGAACGCGTGCCATAAGTTTAGGTAATGCATGGTCTAAACTTATAATTTGTGTTTGTCTGGAAAATTGCAAGCGTTGTGCTCGGTTCGGCTTGCTTGGCGAAGAGATGCGGTCGTGAGCATCCTAGACCAGCTTGGCGTATAGCTTGATCATGTTGCTGTTCCAAACAAGCCGAAAGGCCATGGGCGCGTGCTGACCAACCAGCCATCAGGCGTGGTCCATGCATTCTATGCCATTCCTGCGGTCGTCCTTGAACGCTTGGAAAGCTATAATTACAAGTAGTAGCCGCTTAGTAGCCATGATGATCATCTATGTGTTCTTGAATTGCTGTAGCTGATGTCGGTACACGATTTCCTGATCTAAGGCCAAGGCCACTCTCATATGAATACCCTACCATTCTGATACCTTCGAGGCTTGGCCCTAATGGTGCAGCTTTCCCGGGACAACTGCGGAGCCTTCGCTTCGTTCTGGACCGGGAGAGACGCGAGGCAAGTGCATATAGATCATATAGTTGCATGGTCAGGGTCCACAAAGCCGTGCCAGAGACAGTTTTGATCTTCACGTTTCTAGCAGGTGATTGACCTTTATGATGTTCGTTCTTTGGTCAGATCCTGTGCCGAAGTCATCCCCGACGGCGTGCCTCCACCTATTGCAGGTTGTCATGTACAGTGACAATGTTCTCATGACACCTGCAGGCCTGCTTTTGCCAGATTTATGCAGTATGTACCGAGAGAACTGCACAAGTCCTTGTCAGGGAGTGCGATGTTTTATGTAGCTTCATGGTTTGCCAAAATGCCGGTGGACAGTCTGACGCGACTCATGTCCACCCTTTTTGAGGAATGTTATGATGAGATGACGCTATTTCTCCATATTTGGTGGCCGAGCCCAACACACACACACACACGTCCAGAGTTATGGGGATACGGGTTTTATGGACACATATGTTGAGCACACCTTCAATGCAGGCGCAGATCCCGGACAACTCGGGGCGTGGGACTCAAGAGATACTCACGATACTCACAGTCAATTGAACATATTGAAGAAGAATAGAAGATCATGGGGTTTTGGGGTGAGACGAGAAGCTTATTTTGTGCTCATCGACTTGTCTATAGGTGCCAGTGGGTGGAGGAGCTGGGCCCTCACCATGTCGTATGTGCTGGTCACCATTGACGCGTTCGTTTATGCGTTCGCAAACAGTAACTCATTGTGGTTGCCACATTCTGTGAACATTGGTAGCTGCCTTTATTAGGCATTTATCCTTTTTCTATTATTGTCTTACCTCAGAAGAGCAAGTCTTAGCATCTCTTTGGTTGTAGTGGCTGAGGTGTGCCGCGACTATAGCAATATGCACCTCACTCAGATTCCGGTGTGTTTTAGTGAGGTAAATCGGCTCTTACCATCTACTTGCAACAAGACACATCCAAATACACGTATATAAATTATATAATCTACTTTAATTTACAGCTGACCGCCATACAACAACAGAACTACGTACCACACACACAGACATACAGACATACGGACATGCATATATATATATACATAGATACATGCATGCATGCATATATGCATACATACAGTTCGGTGATCATAATGACATAATGATTGTTGTATCACAAATATATATATACACACATCGCAGGATGGTAATCTGAGAGCTAACCAGCGTGTCCATTCAAGCCTGCTGACCATTCACTTTCTTGAGGCAAAATGGCTCGCTTGTTTGCCCAGATGTCCAGGAACCTGTGTCCGTGATGCACTTGAGGTGGGCCAAGTACGCTGTGAACTTCTCTTTTCGTGTGCAGGCTTCAGCATCACACAGTGATTGTCCACTGTGCTCAGGGTGGTGGAACTAGTGGTTTGGCCTGAAGCAAGCCTTGAAGTTAGGACCGCCATCAGCCAACTGTGGGTGGAAGTGACAGGTTCTACGGGCCTGGGCAACAATTTTGAGCAATTGATGTGGCTGTGAATTGTGAAGTAAGCAGATTGTTTTGCAGGAGACTTGCTGCTGGGCACTCAGGGGTGCCAAGGTGAGTAGTTTTATTTGACAAAACGCTGTCCATTTATGACATTCAGAGGCCAGTGCCTTTCGATCATACATGGGAGGCATCGCAGGTTTGCTATTAGGTTGGAGGCCATCGCAGGTGCTTTCCTCCAGTTTTGTGTTGACAGCTTCAGGTCATGGCACCGGCAGGCTTTTGGCAGCACAGCACTCAAGATGTGTGTGTCAACACGTACAATAGGGGCGTTTTCGCATGGTTTCGTGCAGGCTCACAAATGTTTCATTGGACACGTTAGATCAACAAACCTTTACTGATTTTCAACTTGGAGTTCCCGGGAAAGAGGCCTCTCACAGCTATACTCCTACTACTTAATCTTTATATGCTCAGATTGGATTCAATCCACTCGATGACAGCCGCAGGGCCGCATGGCATGAAATGGTTCAACAGCCAAGTCACATGAGCCATGAACAAGACACAAAACTCCTCATGGCTGAATAGTATAGGACGCAAGTGTGCTAACAGATCAATGTCAGCACAGGTTGGCAATATCGCAGAGTATTATAAAACTCTCCGGAAAACCTTACATTTGGGATTCGAGCCATGCCGCAGCCTGTAGGTGCGACGCCTGCGATAGATGATGTCAAGAGTTTCGCTTTGCATGGCATCCAATTCCTTGCCGGTTTGCCTCAACTGGTGTCCACCTTGAACAAAATTTGCAAATGTACTCATCATGCTCTTCATATACAATATAATATACAATCACCGCGTCGGCAACACTCTTTCACGATCCCCCAATGACATTGCCGACAATTTGTGAACCATAAACATGTTTCAGGTCTGGCAGGCTTGGGTGAACATGTATTCATTACTGCCATAGGTTTGAACCAACGAATGTTTTGGCTCAAGTGACTTGGCCAAAATAGCGTTTGTTCTCTCTTTTTGAGGGCGGGACCCTTGGAGAGACAGTTCTTTTTTGTGCAGGGAGGGACCCTGTTTTCCCATGAGCGAGTTGGGAACCAGCCTTGCCGCCTACACCAGGTACCAGGTGATACATGCCGCCGCGTGGATGGAGTTCAGCGCCCACCTTCAGGAGCTGGTTGCTGAGGGGCGCGAGCGGGAAGCTTTGCGCCTCTGGGCCTCCGTGGTGGAGTTGGTGCATCTGGGGTCCCCAGGGCAGCCCCTCTCCATCGCTGGGTTCCCCCCGGTTCGTCGGTTCGTGTGCACTAACATACCGTGCGCAAGGTGCGCCGACCGTCGGGGCGGCTTCCAGTTCCCATGGGTTGGCGTATGGAACCGCTGCTGCTTGCTGGTTCAAGAGGGACTTGGGCCAGCGGTCGCTTGGCAGCGTTACCATGCCTCTGCGGCGCGCTTGGACCGCCTGGCGCTGCAGTGGATTGCCTTCGACCTGGGCCCGTTGGACATCTTGAACTGGCCGTGGAGCGGCTGGACGACGGGGACGATGGCATCGACACCGAGGAGTTCTTCGAGCTGGTTCGGCTTTGGCAGCAGGGGCGGCGGCCATGGCGGGAACCATGGTCATCCCTGGTTGGGACCCCAGGCATTCCCCGCGAAGTCGCGAATGCCGGCCGAGCCATCCGCGCGATCCTGGGGGCCGTGGCCTATGACGTTGAGTACATTCCCCCCCTCTGCATCCTTTGTCGCCTCCCCACGTTCGAGTCCTGTCGAGTCTGTCGATCGATCGTTTGTGAAAGCTGCAACTTCTGGTCAAGGCAGTGCCCGCTGTGCATCGACAGTTCTGGCTCAGACTAGTGCGATAGTCCTTGCAGGGCTCATGGCTGACAGGGGGCGCTATGCGGTCGAGTCAGCGGGGAGCTCCAGGTGGGACCCGGAGACCTCGTCTGAAGTGGCCCAAGCAGCTCGGGTTCGTGAGTTCCGGGAGCAATACCACCTCCTGGACGATGCGGACTTCGCTTTTGCCTTTCGGTCAGCGGAAGAGGCCTTGTTGGCCGGGGGCCGGGGATTGGCCGATGCTTGGACTAAGGCCCGCTCAGAGCAGACCGAGGAGCTGGTGCCGTTGGCGGCCTCCACAGTGGAAGCTGGCTCGAGTCGTGACAGGCCGGCACATGCTCTTCACTTGCCCGCTCCTCCGGTGCCTGTTCGGAAGGGAGTGACCCTTTCGCAACAAGCCTTCAGTGCCGACAGTGTGAACAGGCGGGTGGAAGCACTGGCCAAGGTGTTTGAGGACGCCGGGATTCATCGCCCTTCCGTGGGGAACCTCTCAGATGCGATCCTCGCTGAGTGGAAACTTCAACTCACGCGATTGGCGCAGGTCAAAGTGACCAAATCGGAACCTCAGACGGTGGTGAACGCTGTGCGCACGTGGTCGGAATTGGTTAGCTTTATGCGCTCCAGAGACAGGGCTACGATAGAGCACTTGGATTTGGCGTCATTCCTGGCCTCCGGCTCCAAAGGACCCAAGCGTGCATTGAACTCGCTTCGCTGGTTGAATAAACTGGGGCATTTGGGGTGGCAGTTGGATTCGATCGCGCTGGACCCACCTGCCTCACGGCGGGCAGCTGCGCGATCCCAGGCGCTCGTTGTCGAGCCGCCCATGCTCACCCACTTGGAGCGTGGCATCAAAGAAGCCTTCACCCGACAGGACCCTCGCTGGACTGCGATGCTGGGCAGTTGGCTAGTGGGCGCCGGATACATCGCGACCGCCCGCAGTCAGCTGCACATCCAGGGCTATGAGGACACCCCCCTTTGCTCACATCGCCAGAGTGGCCAGAAGAGCAAGGGGCGTTTGGCACAGCCGTCCAAGTGTACCTCGAAGATGGAGGCGATTGCCTGGGGCAGGCCAACATGCCAAGTGAGGGGCTCTTGTGAGGGGGGGGTTGCACCCAGGCAGGTAGGGCACAGGTGCCGGGAGAGTTGACCGAGCCGCAGAAGCATGTCCGAGAGGACGTCGTTCGGTCTGTCCCTCTTCCTTCCTTCCCCCCCGTCTCCGGGCTCGTCACGGCCGTAGTCATTGTGCAGGAGGAGAGGGACTCCTCCGAGCGGGCAGCTTTGGCTTAGGCGCGTGGGAAGGGATCCCCGAGACAGCATGGCAAGTTCTCTGAGCTTAGTGCCGAGGGAGTCATCGAGGATTGAAGACTCTCTGAAGGCGCTAGGCACGAACTTCAGCCTTGACCCCGTTGTAGTGGAAGCTTTGATTAAGACAGGTATCTCTAATTTTGAGGAGTTTCGATTTTTCTTTGACAGTGAGGGCGCGGTTGAGCCATGGCTCTCAAAGCTGTCGCTTGGGGATGGCAAGATGCTCCAGGTTTCCCGCTTGAGGCGGGCATGGCATGCCATCACCCTCTATTTCAGGCAGATGGAGCAAGATCGCTCCAAGGTGGCCTCCGATGACCTTGATTCCATGCTTTGCAGTTTCAGTTGATGACTACGCAGAAGAAGCGGAAACTTGGCGACAACCTGTTCACTGAGGAAGCTGAAGAGGAAGAGCCCTCTGCCCGCGATACCGAGGCCTACTTGGACAAGCTGCAAACGCTGATGGTGGCCTACGCAATGGCAGGGGTGGGACCTTTGCCTGCACCAGGGCCAGGGTTTGATCCCAAAGAGGAACTGACTTTGGGAGCAGACAGCACCCGCTACGCCCAAGTGCCGCTGGACATCGCGATGCAATATTTCTTTCGAGCGAAACGAGCCACGGCCGCACTCCCGCCAGGCAAACGACTGGCATGGCTCCAAACCCGTGATGCCGAAGAAAGGGCGGAGTGGACGGCACGCTTTCGGGAAAGCTCTCAGTCGCTCGGCGTCATTATTAAAGAAGTCTACCAGGCGCGAGATGCGCACTGGTTGTCGCCCACACCAGCGGAGCCCGCGTTCACCACCCCTGGGAAGAACGCCACGCCGGCAGCCGCCCCGGCGACCTCCAAGTTTGCATTGGGGAAATCGATCCAAGGCAAGCAAGTGGCACGGGTACTTCGTGATGGGACACTCCTGTGCCAGGCTTTCCAGGAAGGCTCTTGCAAGAGCAAGGGGGGCAAATGCAAGCTCGGCCAACATCGTTGCGGCCATGTCACCAAGAAGGAGCGGGTTTGTGGAGCTCCGAACCATGGGGCAGCAGCTTGCCGCAATACCCCTAAGGCCTGACGGTCTTCAGGGTCCGTTGAGGATCCGCCGCAACCAGGGGGGGGACCCCTGATGGCCGACCTGATGTCAGGGCCCAATGCACCACTTACCAGAGCCTTCATCCTTTGCGGCTGGAGATGCATCACCATTGACTGGTTGATCAACCCTCAACATGACCTCGCACACCCGGAGTTTCAGCAAGAGCTTCATGAGATGTTGCAGCAAGCCGATTGCATCTGTGCCGCGTTGGACTGTAGCACCAAGTCCCGAGCTCGAGAGATTCCTCGTCGGTTCGAGGACGGCCGGCCCGCGCCGAAGCCCCTGCGGTCAGACGAACATCCCACAGGCCTTCCACACCTCCGAGGGAGTGACCTTCGGCGAGTGACCAAGGACAACCAGGCCTGTGATTTTGTCCTCCAGGAGATCCAGGAATTGGCCGATCGCGGTGGAGTGTCACTGCGGGAGAATCCGGCGAGAAGCCTCCACTGGGAGCTTCCCCGGGAGAAGCAGATGTTGGCGTCCGGCGATGGGCAGGACACCTGCTATGCGGCATGTTGCTTCATGGGGGCACGGTGCAAGCAGCAGCGGCTCAGGCACAACATTCAGGAGATCTCCCAGTGGCCGCCACTCCAATGTCATCATCAGCACGACCCAGATGAGTGGAAGCCATACACCTTGGATGGGCAGCGGGTTTTCCCCAGTCATGAAGAAGCCGAGTACACAGCCCCGCTGGCCTTCGCCATTGCGGTGTCTACTAGTTGGTGGGCAGTGCGTGTCGGTCGAGCTAAGTTGCGCGTCCCTCGGATGCCACCGACTGAGGCTGTGGGCCGCCGGGAACACTGGCTTCACTATGATCCCAGCTCGATGCGCAGTTGGGCTATGACTCCTTTGGCGATCCAGCTTGGTCTGCGACCAGTCGATCCTCGCGAGCGTGCACGGGTGCCTCGCGTGCGCCGAGCCGTTGACCTATTGGTGGATGGCAAACTTCCCTCCAAGTGCATCTACGTGGGGCGAGGGCATCACAGTCATAAGTTGCCCCTATCGAAATGGTGCTCTCCGTACACCCCAGGACATGATTGCACCGCAGATGAATGGCTCCCCTGCTA